TTACATCGTAATTACTAGGCAGTCACTAGACAGATTTATTGATATTACGAAATATTAGCTAGTGCCAATCCAGTGACGAGTTAGAAATCTTATCTAGTAAATGCTGTCTAGTGCCTAGATGGTAAATCAAATTGGCTAGATTCATTTCTGCTCGGATACATAGAGTAATATACGTAGAATATATATATATTAGTATTCATGTAACGTTTCTTCGAATAGAGAGTTTAATATATAGTAATTAATGCATTAATATGTGTGCATGTTGATTTTTAAAAAAGATAAAGACTAAGAGTCTTTTTAATTACAAGCAACATCAAGATTTTGCAACAAAACCATCATGATGTTGGTTAACTAAAAATTCACAACTGTGTTCCACTATATCATATCTTTTTGTTTAAATTTTACACAACACATATACTACATGTGCCTAATCAAAAACTTAATTAAAAATTTAAACAAAGATATGATATGTATAGTGGAACACAGATATGCACTGTGTATTTTAATTAATTAAAAACTATAGAATGCTTTTGGTATTTGTATGAAATTTCTAGAGACATCAAATATATATTTATCGACATAAAACACAATTTAACAATTTTGTAATACTTGTACAAAATTTTCATATCAGTTTTCCATCACCCAACTCCTTTCTTTTAATAAGAGAGAAACGCGGTTACCTCGCGTTGTGTGTTACGCAATTTTGACGCAATATACGTAAAGCTATTCAAGCTTATAATTTATATATGAGGTACGCATTGCTATTAAATTGCGCTCACAGCCAGGAAACTAGGAAGAGGATGTGTGGCTTCGAAGAACAAGTATGACAATAGTATTGCAGATTGAAAATTGGAATGTTAATGAAATATTAGTAAAAGTATAGTAAATGTTGATCAGAAAATAATTTCACAATTTAAATACTTTATATAATATTGTATAAAATACGTAAAAAAAAATCTTTTATTCATCTACAAATATCTCGATTTACCAAAAATAAATATTTTTAAAGTTCGGCAATTTTTACTTTTAATTAAATATCCATCGAATTGCAGCACATGTGATTCTGATAAACGTGATATTCGAATGGATATCCCACTTTGCGTTATATTTTTTACAAAATGGTAACGTGAAACCAACAAGGGAAACATGCAATTCACGCGTGACTATAAAGTCAAATTATATATATGATCACTAATTGCCGCAATTTAAAACTTTTGTTAACTCGCGCACACAACGTGATAACTTATTATTCACAGATCATATGATAGTTTGCAAATTAACATGTAAATGAATAATATCTAATTGTAAACTTCGAAAATATGAATTATTGAATAATTAATTCTAATAATATTAAAATACACGTTAAATTTATTGCATAAATTATTGCAAAAGAAATCTATTATTTTTCGCAATATTGTATCATTTGTTTTGAAAGGTAAAAATCTCCCAATCATGTGAGAGAGAGAGAGAGAGACCAAATAATTTTAAAAATAAATCTGGTAATTTGAAAATGAAGATTCACAGCAAAGAGCAACTTTTTCTCATAAAAATATTGCAATTATAATAATATTTCGAAAACTTTGATCCACCCAGAACTATAATGCAATGAAACAAATAATATCATAATTATTATTTGAAACTGACGTATACTTTACAAAAAATATTTTATTTTCTCATGTCGCATTTAAAATGCAGTAATTTGAAGTATAAAATATTTCATGTACATAAAAAAAAGTTTACAATATTCAGATGACTTATCTTAGATTTTCAGTATTGAAAATTCGTACCTTCTATCCTCCGTGCAGCGTCGAGATGAAGAGCACTTTGTCCCGCGGGCATAGTTTATAATCGCCTTCACCCTGAAATTATATCTTCTTATATCTTTTTGGTCAACCGAACGATGCGAAATAAAACCTAACATAAAACATGACAAAAAATAATAAGCTTAAGGAAATATTTTAATTTACATATATCAATATCTATATATTCTTTAAGAAATCAAAAGTCAATTTTCATTCAAAATTTAATTGTGTGCTATTTCTTCGTATAATTTTTTACCACAGAAGTTTTAAGTAAACACTTCAAATAAATAATACAAGCGATAATTTTCACTTTACTTTAAATTGTACTTTATTATAATTTTACTTTATTTTTCAATTTTAAACTTCGATCAAAAAATTTTATTACATCTTTTTAATAGAGTTTATTTGAAATTAAAATTTTATTATTTGCATCCTATAGGAGTTTGAGTTATAAAAACCCTTACAGACCTTCAGTCATTTATTTAAATAATAGTTACGGCTTGATGTACTAAAATCAAGGAAAAGAGTTGGTTAAGAAATCTATGATATAAATGAAAATTCAATGAATGTCCTATATACCCTAAATGAAGGTAGATTGACTTTACAAAGATTTCATCTTTAACTCTGAATTCATGCCTTTCAACATCCTTTTACTATCGAGATAGCAAAGATATCCATTACACAGATACGCAAGATTTGAAAAAGTTAGATTTTCACGAGCGCAACTGTATTATGGGAAAAGAGGGACGCGGGTGGAAAAAGAAACGGGTGAAAAGGAAAGCAGATGACATGTATACTGTGTGTGTGTGTGTGTGTGTGTGTGTGTGTGTGTGCGCGCGCGCGCGCGCGTGCGTGCGTGCGTGTGTGTGTGTGTGTGTGTGTGCGCCTTGAGAAGAGAAGCGAGCCGAGCGAAAAGACGCGGAAACGCAAAAGCCAAAGCTGCGCGGAGAAGCTTCGCCAAGAAGCGACGGTATTATCATAATAATGGCCAGAGCCATCATCTTTTCCCTCGTTCCGACGCTCCCCGATGCTGCAGCATCTTCCCGCTCGAACGTTACCCCGGCGAGAACCACGTCTTTCCTCCTAATAGCCGCGGCGTGTACATTTACAAATTTAAAATGATAATTCTCTCCGTGGGTGTGGCAAACCGAGGTCATTTGCGCCCTTTCAGCGTCCGGAGTTGCTCCGCGTTATCCCGCACCCTATCTAGCGCGCAAGTAGCGATGGCGATGGTAGCCGACAGACCGATTATGCCGTTTGTAAAAACCGGTCACGGGGTATCCCGTTTGTCAGACGCCAGAAACAGTCGTGTGTCACTGCGGGAGTTGGCGACGTGGGAAAAGAAATATCGTGCGACGAGGGGTATCATCCGCCTCCGTAGCATTTCTCTGTGCGTTTGAGATTAATATTTTAAATCATCACTCGGTAACTTTCCGGCTCTCGCAAATCGTTCAAGCTCTTGATTTTATTAATCCTAAAATAAACAAACAATTTTTAATATGTTCCCTTCCACGTGAGATGTTTGTATACCTCGTTCAAACTACTTGGTAGTGTGTATTTATTGTAGATAGTTATATGTATATAATGTATATAGTGTAGTTATTGTATCATGGAAACATTCTTATTTGATAATAATAAAACTGTAGTTTTATAAATACTGTACGTTGTAAATAAAATTATTAATATCTCTCGACAGCGTGAAGTCTATATAACAGAAAATTATCGAAAAATAGTTCGGTAAAAAACAAGTTTAAATAAAATCTTATGATTTTTATTCATAATTTGCTTTTCTTCTATTTTCAGCCCAATCTTGTACATTAATCCAAAAATATTTTGAATTGTTTTTGTCTGATTATGATTCTTGCTGCAACTCTTCATTAGAAAATGTATTCTAAACTTATTGCAAGCAAAGGAAAAAAGATTTCGAAATAGGTATAAAAAATGTATAAAAAATTATACACGGAATATACAATATATAAATATTGAAATAGCTGAATCTGATAGAGAACTTGTATGAAATTCTTGAAAAAACTTTAAACAGTTATTGCGCAAAGAAAGTAGTTACTTTTATTGAACATTTAAATATGTTTCTCTACTAATAAACTTTTATTAATTTTAGAAAAGAGAATATAAATCTCGTCTTCAAAGAATTCAGTTGCCGAACACGGTGCATTAACTTCTCGTATCAGTGTGACGACTTAAGAATCAGGTAGCTAAGTAATCCATTCAATCCTTTTCGAATTTAAATCCGTCTGCCATTCTCGTTGTGCATTTAAATCTATATTTAAAAGATTTTCCTTAAACTGAAGTTTTAATAATTCGAATATATATATATATATATATATATATATTTAAGACGCGTACATAAAAAATTTGTCTTGTAAGAAAATGAATATTAATTTAATTTTATAAATGTTAAATCAGATTTGAAAATTTTTTAGTTACCATTAAAAAATATAATAGATAAATAATTGTAAATTTATTATACACTATTCTTTCGTTTTGCAATCCTGATAACATTATTTTACAATTTTCCATGAATTAGCATAAGTAACGCGAAATTTAATGACTTTATACAAAAAGTTCAACTTTGATTTCACTCGTAAAAAATAGCATTAGTTAAAAATTTAATTAATACTAAACACAAATAGTGTTCTTCGATTTTTCACCAAAAGCGATAAAACAATCATTAATTTTGGTAATTATTTAGAATACCTCCTTCCCTTCCCCATCTCAAATCTTAATAAAAATGCACTTATTCGACGTGTTTTCACTCAAAACGAAAGAATGGCAAAAAAACACGGCAGTTGGCCTCGTGATTCGAGTAAGTGTTAAAGTAGGAGATTTTAGAGATTAAGATATCTATCATCTTGCGATTCGATACAGCTCTATGTATACGTTCTGCATTAATTACACAAATTCACTGCTTTAAAGACACAAATTCTCTGCTTCAAAAACACAAATTCACTGCTAATGCAAAGAATTTGTGCTTAAGGCAGTGAATTTGTGTTTGTAAAGCAGCAAATGTGTTTTTAAAGCAATTTTAAAGCAGTGAATTTATGTAATTAATGCAGAACGTATACATAGAACCATATTTTTTTGGCCAGATTCTTTCCTTCTGAGTGAAAACACGTCGAATAAGTGTATTTTTATTAAGATTTGAGCCTAGGTGAGGGATATTCTAAATAATTACCTCCAAATTGGCCGAGAAAGATGTAGTCGAATAATGATTCTTGAACTTTTAATCAAAAGAACTTACGATCATCGAATACACTGGCATAATTCTCTCATAAAAATTGCTCCAATATGTGATATCCGAGAAGTATATTGCACATAGATATACGTGTAAATGAAAAACAGTAAATGGAACAGACACTGCCCAAAACTCACCAGTAATTCCCAGTCGGCATCGTTAACCAGAACTAAGATGCCCGGTCTCCTAGAGAAACAAGATAAACTTTTTAAATCGAGTTGCGCTCGTTCCGCTGCTGCCAGCGTATTGTGTGTCGAAAACTTACAGATACCGTATTCTCCATCAATTACGGGAAGTTGGAGGTACAAGCGCGAAACAGACGCGAAACGAGCGCGAAACAAACGCGAAACGAACACGAAACAATAAGCGAGCGAAAACCCACCGTGATCAGCCCCGATCATTCACTGCGGAAAACTGTTAACCGTCACTCGCAAAAACGAAAATTTCAAAATGGACGTCCCCACCAATATCGTTCAGCCGATTGGCTGATACCATTCGAGTCGTTGAGCCTATAGAATTGGCCAATCGACACGACCGCGACTTTCGCAGCCGACTTCACTACGCTCGCTTGCATCATACAGACGCGTACCGTATACGCCATTTCATCGTTTTGATCTCGAATTCGCGATTTTCAATATTTTCTTTCCCTTTTTCCTTCGAGCGAAATGTAAAAAAAGAACAAACTAAAATCGAGAAAAATGTGAAATATACGCCGCTATCATATTCTCGTTTCAGTCTCGTAACAACTTTATCGAAAGATAACATCTCGCAAATCCAATCATTGCACAAATCATTATCATTACGCCACGAAAGCGAACACTACACTAATCAACGACGTGAAAAGCGGTCATCTTAACTCGCGATATTTAATCTGATAAATCATAGATCTCCGGCATATTTGCGAAATTACAATTTTCAACAGTGACGAGAGAAGTCGAGTCTTTCTCTCTGATTATCCGACTTACCAACACCGGTTTAATGTAAAAAATACAATATGTCAAAACATAACATACGTTAAATTGATAATGAGAATAACCGAATTAAATCACGTTACTGTAAATGTTTTACCATACAATTTTCAATCGGCTGCAAAAGACGCGATTACCCAAGAACGCGATTCATACACGACACAATTCCGTATTTATAAAGGCCCGTATTCAGAACGCGCTTTTACCGATAAAGGCGCGTACTGAATGCGGGCCATAATTTTTTGGGTTCGATATCTAGTGTAAAACGCGCGTCTTTTAATTTATTGCTACTCGAAAAACAACAATCTTCGCGACAAGATACGTCTCGTATATCATGATGTAAGGAAATACCGGAATTAGACTACGCAATACGCATTGAAGATTGAAAGATTGAAATTTGACCGATAGAAAACAATAGAAGCTAAAATTCCTTTGTCCTCATTGGTAAAATTCCAATATCAATCTTCAATGCGTAGTCTGATTCCGGCCTAAGAAGATATATGTAGATGGTATAGATTTAGAACCAATATTCATATTCGAATCTTATATTTAAGAGCGTTTTACTTACAATTTTAAGATGTCATAAGCCAATCACAGAGTAGTATTAGCATTTTAAGACAATAGGCCCGTTCGACTTGATACAAGTTCGACTTGATGAGGGAAAGAATCGAAGTCCTTGGGTATACATACAATAAGGCTCTTCCATTCAGAACGACAACCGCTCACTGAGCGCACAGTGAGCTTTTTCATCATGATTGGCATATTCCATTATATCCTAAATATAATATAGACCAATCACAGATGAAAAAGCTCCCTGAGCGCTTAATGAGCGGTTGTCGTTCTGAATGCACCCAATGTTGATTGATTCATAACATCTTAAGACTGTACTTAAGATAGTCTTAAATATAAGAATTGACTATGAATACCGAGACCCTAAACCATTTTCTACCATTTTTAAGCACTAAGCCGTAGAAATTGACCAATTACAATTGAATGCGAGGAGAATAATTGACTATAATTCATTCATTTCGTAAGATGCGTAAGCCCGGATCTACAATAGGTTGTTAAATCTTTAATCATAAGAAATGGACGAATCATTTCATCTGATTGGTCAAATTTTACTGCTTAAGGTTTAAAACACCCATTATATATCCGGACTAATGCAAAAATCTGTGCTGCAGCTGCTAAAGGCTCCTTCCTCCCATTCCATGGAAAAGAAGAATTTCAATTGGTTAATTTCTGTATGCACTATGCATAGTGCTTTATGCAAGAGTCTGTGCCTGCGGCCATAAGGATGGAGTCCCATGAGATGTATTTGCCGCGTAAAGCTGGAAACACAATAAGCACAGGAAACAGGGAATAACTATATGCTATGCAAGTTTGTGTGGATATATCCTAAAGAGGGGAGCACAGACTCTTGCATAATGCATAACACGCATGAGGCATAAGAAAATGAACCAATCAAAGTCCTTAATTTCCTTCCTTTCCGTGAAATAAAGGACTTTGATTGGTTGCTTTTCTTATACGTCTCATGTTTTATGCCTCATGTTTATATAAGTCCGGCCGGATCTACAATAGGTGTTTTAAGCCTTAAACCATAAGAAATTGACCAACTACAGCCGAATGGGAGGAGAATAATTGATTGTGATTCGTCCATTCCTTATGGCTTGAGGCTTAAAAATCTATTGTAGATTTAAACCGAGGTAAACCGGATTTTTGCATTAGTCCAGAGCCTCGAGGGTACGGCAATGCACCGGAAGATACAGATACTGACATCTGTGCATTGCGCGTGCGACCGGCGCGATATGCGCCTGATTACTGAGTGTGCATGTATATGTATGTAGTGTATGCGGCCATCTTCATTCGCGATGTCGGCCGTCGTCGTCGGTCGTGGTCGATTCCGTTCAATCGCGGACTGTGCGCAATAGTGCGCATTCACGTGACTGATGTGTGACGCAAGGTAAACCTGCAGTTCAATCAACACGGCGCAATACTGCGGATATTGCGTTATTAGAATTCTTTAAAGTTCTTTTATTTCGCGCGGCGGCAAACATCGACGGGGTGTACGAGTGTATGTAGGATCACGTTACACTTACACCGTGTCGCCCTGCATGAAGAGCTCGGATCGTTCAGTCAAGAGGTTATCCCGCAGCCAGCTTAGCAGTCGTTTCAGCGTCCCTGAGCAGAATCGACTGATTATTATTATTATTAACGAGACAAACGGACACGAGCTAATACGCGTGAGGATACACTTACATTCCTCACCGGGTAAGTCCACCTCGTGCCGCTTCTTTCCATCAAACAGCAACTCTGCTCCACCTCTGCGAATATTCGACAAACGTGAAGGCGTGATTTGTTACTCGATCGTCGCATCGCATGACGCATACTCGTACACGCTTGTGTAATGGAATTGCAATTTTCTCGGTCTTACCCGAACTCGATAGTAAGAGGAAGTCCAATCGCAGACATCGTGAATTGTGAAACAAAAGTTCAGAGGACGTTTCTTTCCTTCTCTCGCTCGCTCCAACGAGGAGGTTAGAAACGGATTCACGGATTGTCGTGCGCGCGCTCGTGCAATCGTGCAGAACTTTCGCGAACGTTCACTGCGATGATCACTGTGGAATGCCAGGTTAGGTTTGTCGAAAAAAGAGGAAAGAAGGAAAGAGGCGCCCTATGAATTTTCGTTCGTAATTCGTATGAGAGTCGTCAAAGGCCGGGATCGATTGTCGTAATAAAACGAATTAAAAGGAGTTTTCGCCGTGTGTACACACACGACGCACGCTATACCGCCGTATATGTGAGTATACGTATACGTGAGATGACGCGAGATTGGTGCGGTTCCCTACGACTCGCAAGTCGTAACTCGTAATACCACAGACAGACTACAGAGCGCGCGCATGCGCGTGAGTGGCATTAACCTCGGCATTTACACTTTACAGCGGTGTCGGCGGTTACTGTGTATACGTTTGTATGTACGTACGTACACGGTGCGAGGAGTGCTTGCTGTAAATTCTAAATGAAACGATCCAAACCGTAATTTCGATCGATTGACACACTCGGCACGAGTCAATCAAACTGTCAATTATTACGACGCGGTCACGTCGAATTTCAACGACGAGTTGGAACACGAGTTCGTGGGTGAAAAGAGGTGGCCGCTCGATTCTCTCCATCACGCGCGCGTATATATGTACGTTATATACCTAGTCCTGCAACGTGCAGGTCATTAATCTTGCGTGGATCGGTGCTGAAAGAAAGAGATTAAGAGAGAGTGCGTGTCTCAAGTCTCAACGGCCATCCGATCGAGCGAGAACGCGAATTATTTGCGACGACACGTAAAGAGTAAACGATGCGGCACGATGATATTACGAGATATCGTCGAAAGTGCGGCCTGTAATGGCGGCTGATGAAAAAAGTGTATTCCATTGCGCGCCACGTATGTTCGCCCAGCCGGCAAACGTTTTTCTACTCGTGTTTGGAAATAATCGGAAATAAATCGGACAACGAATTAATCCCGTCGTCTTCACTCTCTTCGATCGTCAGATCGCATCAGTCGATAAGATAATCCGTGATTCCTTCTCGCCCGTAGTTTTCCACGATGTCGGAGAACAGCGAGCACTCGCCCGACGACACCGAGACGGAGACAAAGGCGATGGAAGATCTACCTAACGATTCATCCAAGAGCGAAACGAAATTAATGAATCAGGCCGATACGGCTCTGCTCGAGGATGAGGAAATGCCGACGTACATCAGTGTGTCTAGTATCACAAGACCAGATGACTCGGACATCGTCAACATGAAGCAGCATGAAAATGAGTCTCAAGAGATGGAAGGGGATCGTAGCCCGAGTCCCTATCCCAGCGACGATCAAGCGCCGAGTAGCGTTTATGTTTTATCATCTGGAGAAGAAACCGATCAACATCCTTATAACGACGAAGATGACGAAGATGAATATGGAGATAGTGACGGTAAGTTGGTTAATAATAAAGAGACTTGTGCCTGATTTAGACTATGCTTCTGGTCTTATAACCCTAAACTCCTAAAATTCATTTTTTCACCGCCGATCAAGTGCCTACTGTTGTGGCTGAATAACTTAATATTTTTTAGTATGTAGTTTCCATTATGTTACAGATATGGAAAATTTAGAGCTTGATAATGATTTTGATTCGGATCATCCAAGTAACATGAAGCATTTAATGGATGACGAGGATGATGATGATGAAGATGACGAGGATGAGGAAGATGATGAAGACAGTCCTAGACAAATGCATGATGATGGTATCGATGATAATTACGAGATAGATTATTATGATGGAAGATCTGATGATTTTGTCTTCAATAGGAGATTGAAAAATCGTCACAAAGAAAAGAGCCTTTCTCTTCAAGATTTGAAAATGTACGAGAATAATATGAATGACGGATATTTTAAAAGGAGACACTCACAAGGTTTAAGACCAAATTATCCAAACATTCCAGAACAAGCTATTGTGTATTCTATGATTCAGAGAAAGCAACCAATACCAGGAAAATATCATTATGTGCAAAGCAAAGTTAAACGCTATATCAAAGATATAAAAGACCAAAATAGACGTTCCACGGAAAAACATGTAAAACAACATCAGGAAGATACAACCGACTATAAAAGCAACAGCGATCACAAAAACAATGATACAGAAAAAATAACATCTACAGTGACTAACAAGACAATAAAAGATTATGCCGAAAGAACGATCAAGGAGTTAGAAATCGCCGAGACATGCGAGAATAGCATGGATAAAGTGGCCTACAATACTATTACTACGCCAATAATATTGAATGGACAAGAAAATAAAAACTGTTTAGAGTCAATACATGAGGAATCCATACAGACTCAAGTTCAAATAGATATACCATTTGAGTCAACACAAAATGAAGGAGATCTTGCGAATACAGATGGTAAAATGCAAAAACAAAATGGAACAATTGAAGATAAATCACTAAAATTCAATTATACTGATAAAGAAATTCCAAATTTTTCACCCCTCACTCAAAATGGTCATCAAGAAATACCAACGGTATTTTACGATTTGCGAACTTTAAGTTATGACGAGTATATGCATGGCACTTCTAATTCTAGTCAGAAAACTGATTTAAATAAGAACGCCCATGTTATTGAGCAAGAACATATTCAATCTGAGGCATTTAATAATTCAGATCTAATGGAAGTGTCCACAGATGGGGAAGAAGATGCTTGTTCTTTAAGGATTGAGAATATAAAGAGCATTAAGACAATGTCAGATGAAGCAAAACATAATAATGAGCAAATAACTTTTGAGAAAACAAATGAAGAATTTAAGACTACTTTGGATATCTCAGAAGTTACCACATTGAAAAAGAAATTAACACAGAAGACTGTAAAATATAACAGTCTGCTTGATACATATCAAAAGCAGCTTATGGAAAATTTAAAAATGAAACGGGAATTGGACGAACTGAGAAAAACATTAGCAAAATATGAAAAAGAAAACAAACCTCCGGAACAGAAGGTTGCATCAGTTCAAACGGACGTTTTTATTGATTCTATATCTAATCAACCCCAAGATCAAACTGAGCCTACACATGTCAAACAATCCAATAATAAAATATCAGGTAGTAGTGTAGCTTCGACGCTAAGCTCTATAGATCAGTGGAGTTCCAGTGCTTGTAATTTATCAGTATCCATTAAACCACCTGAAATAACAAAAACGTTACAGTCTGACGATAGTATAGTACTGACTGACGGTACACCAAGAAAAACGCGTTCATTATCACGTGCATTTATTACTTCCTCCCGAATCTTGCAAACTCTTTCAAGTATTACACAGGGAAAAACAAAGCCAGAAAGTCCATTGATACAAAATTCAAAGAAAAGATTAAATGAAAATATATCGATGGATCTGCAAAATGATGAGAGTAATTATCAATGTCTCCCTTCCAGCTCTAAGAAAAGAAAGATTACAGACATTCTTGAGCCATCTAATTTTCTACAATCTTTCAAAGTTTCCCAAACTTCTGTAGAATCATATCCAAAGTTAAGTGAAACGCCTTCAGAATCACAGTTTAAAAACTCGTGTGATTCGGTAAATAAGAATGTAGATTTGCAATCAAGTTTACCTAATGCTAATACAAGTCAATTAGGAGCTGCTACATCTATGGTAGAGAGCAAGACAGAAACCGCTGATGATCCAGAGGATAATGTTAAGTGTTTTGTATATCGCGAGGATGAAAATAGTAAAGATCGCAGTTTTCTCATTCTAGCAGAGGAGCCTGAATATGATAAGGCTATTAATGAAAAAGGACGCAGGCGAGAATGCGGTCCGTACTTACTTGGTAATGTAGAAGTAAGAATGTCTGAAATGAACGGAACAATCAACATTTGGGGTAAAGAGGTAAGTGTGACCTTATAAATTATAATTTATAAAGAAACTAATTTCAAGATTCCGTTGTACTCAAATTAATATGTACTTTTCAGATCAGTCAAGAATCCACTGCTGAAACTGAAAATGATATGGAAGCGTCTACTAAAGTGAAAGACAAAAATCATTATTATTGGCAAAAGACACCAAATACCAGATTCAATGGCAGTAATTTAGTATGTTCAACAAGTAAAAAATCAAAAAGTCCTCCTAAATTTGAACTATCCTCAGCAGCATCTAATTCTTCATGTCTACATTCACCTTCGTTTAACATAGCAAAAGCATCTTGTTCTACAGATAAAGCAGATAAATTATGTAGTTCAAATGCATGCGAAGACTGTGATTTCCCAAAATATCGTAAGGAATGGCTAAGATATAAACGAATACATCCCCAAGAAAAATTACATTCCTGCTGCACTCATGATATAGACACGTCAGAGAAGAAGTGCAATTGTTCCTTACATAACGAAAAGCAAAAGTTTGAAGATAGTTTTATTTATAGCAAAGAAAAGTTAAGCACCCAAGAACATCGACAAAGTTTTTCAAAAAACCTAGAGCCTAACAAGCATTTACATGAAAATATTGCCTCAGAAGGCAACGAGCACATTTGTAAAAATTGTACAACGTATCATCATTCACCGCACAATCCAGAGAATTGTCAAGAAAATCACAAATGTACCATGTTAAAAGAAACTTGTGAGCCACTAATGATGAATATAGATCGGGAATGTAACGAATCATGTAGTCACTCATCTCCTAATATACATGAAGAAGAGCCGTTAATAAAGCTGAAACAATGTAGTGAAAGACCAGAGGTGAGTTTACGTCGTCATGTACGAATAATTTTATGAATGTAACAAAAATTTGTATGATTATAACTGTATGTGTGACTCGTAATTATTTTCTCTTTAGGCGAGACGACGAAGAATAATTGGGAAAAGGGTACGAGGAATTTTAATGGATCTCGTACGAGGGTGTGGAGATTGTTATAATTCTAATCCTAATGTATCCGGTAATAACAAAAGCTGTACACACGAGAAGGAATCTTATTTAAGAAGTTGTTCTCCACAAATCAAAATTTCGCCGTGTGCATCTCCAGAACCGTTGTGTTCAAATGCAGGGCAACCTGGAAGGTGTGCATTCAAATATTTCTTAAAACTTTTCATTATACAGTACATTCCATAATTGTGATAGCAACTAGATATATAACATTATTTATGAAATTTGTAATATCTTTTGTTAGTAAAAGTGAAAATCTTAAATTGTAATAAAACTATATATCTGCTCCTTAGATTATATAATATCAATCTTTTAATATCAAGGTTGTTTTACTTATTTACAGATGCTGCCATGCATACGCACAGCGAATTGAATCTCAATTGGAAGAATTTCGAATGGAAATGGAAAGGATGCGATCACGTTCGGATGCTATTCTTAA